ATTTCGAGGCGGCAGCCCACGAGTTCATCAGCTCCTGCCCAGGGGCATAAATGTCTTTTTAAATACCAGCAGCACGAAGATGCTCTTATATACCTGTATACCTAACTGTGAAGTATCTTTGCTCCTTTTTGATGCTGCGTTTTCTTCTTGACTATTACTGTCTTAATGTTGACCAACCAAGAACTGTTCATTTTGAAAAAAACCCAGCATTTGCTGCTGTCAGAGCGACTCTGGTTTGCAGAAGACAGTAAATTCCAGATTTTTCATTTGTGAGGCTGAGTAAAGCCATTAAAGCTTTAACCCTCAGTTATTCCCAGCAAGGCATCATTTCAGAGGATGCTGGAATTAAGCTAATAAATAAGTAGGGGGAAAAAAAACCACAACAGAAAGCTAAAGCCAGGGACTTTGGGCAGGGCCTGCTTTGCATCCTGGCTTCTGTGAATTCTTGCTGCAGCTGCTCTTGCAGCTGCATTATTTTCAACATCAATCTGAGTGATGCTATGTAATAGCCTCGTTACAGAGGGACTAAAGAGCTAACAGAATCCTAAAATCCTCAGACTTTTTATAAAATTTACATTCTGAAATACCATATTTAAGCTATTTTTCAATGTTTGAATTTAAATGGGCACAATTAGACTTGATTTTTATTTTGTTTTTCAACTGGTAGTTATTACATTGAGCTAGTATTCCTCGTGGTCACGGTCCTGCGAACACACACATGCAGCATCTTAATTTTATAGGAGTGACAGTCTCTCAGAGTCGCATAACATTAAACATGCAAACAGGCGGTTACAGAGCTGGGGCTTCTGTTTGTAATGAAGAAACGTGGAATGCAGCAAAACATTTTACATTGAATTTTCTGCATATTCTTTCGAAACAGCAATGATTTATGGAGTTTCCTCATTGTTGGCCTTACCATTTCAATCAGTTGGTAAAAGCCCCAATGACTTTGTCAGAGCAAAGGTAAACCAATGCAAAACACTTTAAAGGATTAATTTTTACATGTGTCTGGAGATTGCCCATAAAAGTTTGTCAGTGGTCACGTTTGAATACTATTACCACAGTATTTCATCTGTATTTCCTAAAGTTTTGCAAGCTTAGGCATGGATATCCTGGCACCGACTTGCACAGATATAACTAGTGACCGTTTGCGGATTAGGCACCATAAAGGGAACGTATCTAATAAAATACTTCATTTATTGATTCTAATGTAATGCATTGTAGTAGTATAATTCCTGAAAGCAGTGCAAGTACAGAACGAGCAGTATGGCCACCCTGAAATACAACAGACATCATCTTATTTAGCAGGCTGCTTACAACTTGGCTTCTAGAAGGTATGCAATTAGATGGCAATCTCCATGTTATTTTTAAATAATGTCTCTAGCCCTCGTGGCTGCAGGAAAAAAGCTTGGAAATATAACTCAAATATCATGTAAAGGCTCAGGAAATAAAAGGAAAGAAATCAAAGTATGTATTTGTAAAAAAAAAAAAAAAAAAAAAAGCCTAACCATTTTTATCTAGTTATAGATGTTCCTGGTTGCCTGCCTGAGGATATTTAATGTTTAAGGTTAGCAATATTGAATGACAGAGGGAGGTTTTTATTGGTTAGGTACTGTAATAAGAGCAGCTTTTTTTTTTTTTTTTTTCCATTCTAATTATACTTTGCATGCATCTTTCTGGTAAGTGTGGGCAGATCATGTGATTTCTGTGCCTCATGGAGCTAATAAGACTTCACTTCTTTTCAGTGCTGCATGGATCAACTTACTAATATTTGTGAAACACAAAGGAATTAGAATGATGAACGTCCTATAAATAAATAAATGTATCTCCATTCATTAGCAGGAAAGCTCTGTTTTGTTTCAAGAAGTGATTACTGAAAACGCTTTACCATGTATTTTATCAGCAAACAAGATGACATTAAGTGGCAATATGTTAAAATTAGTTGCCTTCCATTCTTTCAGCTTTACTGGAAAAAAGTTACATTTTCTTTTCAGATTGTATTTCCGCAAGTATAAAACAGATGCATTTGGATAAATAGATTTGGAACATATTATTAAATTAAATGAAGAAAAGGAAACATAATGAAATAAAATCCAAGTATCTGAAAAAAAAATAATCTTTTCACAGGCCTGGACTGGAAATCTAATGTTCCTTCTCTACTTTATCCTGGTATAAGGATGACAGGTATTCTGTCGTCTTCCAAAGTACCATCTGAGATGCCACGTCTGATCTGAACAAGAATGGGTGTTCATTCAAGGAGAACTGATTTCAAAATCCAGTTAAATGTATTAAATCTATTTCTACATTGAGCACAGTGTTTGTGCTTAGTACATTTATTACTGTTATTACAATAAAATTAAATGGTGTCATCTGAGATCAGGTTCCTATTACACTTCTACATATTCATTGTAAAAGACATTTTTAAATAGACCAAGCAGAGGAAAGAAGTATTCTTTGGGGTAAAATGGGGTACAGAAATGAGGCACAGAGAAATGAATCCTACTCAGAAGCATACAGGGGACCCATGGCAGATCAGCTTCTCACTTTTAGAGTTCCTGCAGTTGCCTTCCCTAAGTTCCACTTAAAAATGGTACTGAGCCAGCTCAGCACAATTGTACTCACCTCTTGCGGAACATACCCGTTGGGGAGGTGCTGGGGAAGTGAAGCTCTGGCTCAGTCCAAGCCCTTCAGCTCGCCGGAGCACGCGAGTACGAGCTCCTAGGGGGTTGCACGGCCATCCCTGATGCAGTCGCTCCTAAACGCTTTACAGCATGCCCCAGCTTAGCAATTCCAGCCTAGCTCTTCCTCACCTCCTTGTGAGTGCTTTCTGCCCAATATTTTGAAAATGAAAGAAACTGAACCAGCTGGAACGTGTCGTATATAATGGGACATCTATATTGCCACAACCTGACTGGTACCACTTGCAGCTCAGACCTTTGAGTCTAAGCACAGGTTTCTTCCCACCCTGGACCACCGGAGGAAGTATCTTCATGCTCATCAGGACCTGAGCTCCACTGATGTAGGTGATTGAAAAAAAGTTCTAAAATAAGTTTGGAAAAGGGTTTTAAGTAAGGTCCTTATTCATTTGTCAAGAGACTAAATTGCTGAACACATTTAAATCAGAGCAACTTGCTAACCTTACTTTCTAAAGAAATTTTGCAAATGCATTTAAAAAATGGAGTAAAATAGGAAGTCTCTGCTGCTTCTAACCCAGACAAATAAACCTTGTAACCGCAAGCCACAAAACAGAGCCGATGGAGGAAGACACACTGGAGTTACATTCACAACTTGGAACACTGCAAGGGTTCAACGAGCATTTCAGAACAGAGTAGAAAATGGTATCAGCCCCACAGACAAGAGTCTCATCCCAGTGCCAGGCTGTCCTCTTAGGCGCCGAGGACTAAAGAATCCCATGACCAGAGGGAGACAAATGAATAAGAAACACAAAGCAAAATCAGCACAATTAATCAAGTAACTAAGATACAAACTCTCAAAACAGAACAAATGTGCCATATTGCTAAAAATGTTGTTTTTCAGATAAATGAATAAATTTACTTTCAAGCCAGGTTTTTTTTTTTTTTTTTTTACTTCCCCAGTATCTTCAGCCCTATTGCTTCCTCTGCACATTTACTTCCCCAGGTGCAATTTAGATATTGCATCTAAATTTCCCTACTTTAGCTATGCAGTTGAGGTGAAACCTAGACGAATGAATCATTGCATCCTATCCACACTTACTGATCTGCTGGCTCAAAAGTGCAGAGCAGAGAAAAACAATTTTGGGGAAAAGTGCTGCTTTTGCTAAAGCAGCAAAAGGGGAAAAGAAAATAAAATGGAAATGCCTAGGGATTCAGTCAGAGAGGAGAAGCACTGAAGATCTGAGGAGGGAATAGAGAAATAAGGGAAGATGATAGGAATGTCGTAGTTGGATGATGAGTAGAACTAATGAAACTGAGTTTCCTGGTCCTTTGGAGCTGGGCTTCCCTGGTGTCTAACAGCCTGCAAGCTCTGATCGAAGCTTTCCCTGTGGTTAGAGTATTCACAGTGTTTCTCCCTTGTGTGACTTTTCCTGGTGTCTGTTTAGGGAGTTGTTGATAATGCAGTAATTTGGAGATAGGACCCAGGGAAATCCAGATAAACAATAATTAAGCCTTAAAAAAAAAAAAAAAATCACAGTGAAATGGGACTGGAAGGAAGATGCAAAATGGAAACAAAAATTAAATAAAGGAGAAGGCCCTTCTCCACCTAAATCTTCAACGTTGATTTTCTTTAAACTTAAATAACTAATGGGAGAGGAAAAAAACCTCTGGATAAAGAGAGACTGGAGAGCGGTTGAGACAAGTGCTTAAAAAGCTCCATGTTGCCAGACGAGCTCCCTGAATGGAGATGGCTGAGATGTAGAGAGGTTGATTTTAGGTGATAGAAAGAAACAAGGCATTTTGGGCAGGTGGGAGAGGAGATAATTGGAAGAAACCCGTTGTGGTCTCTGGAAAGTGCTGATGCTGGACTGTAAATTTGGGTGAGGTGAAGAAAATGAAAAGCTGCTCCCTCATTAGTCCCCACCCCGTTAAGGGTGAAGGTAATAGAGGAGGAGATGTGGGTTTCCTGTGTGATGGCCAGGAGCCTTTCGTTCCTCACAGGACTATCCGCACTGCAAGCACCAAAGCTACAGCCAGCTCAGGAAAAGCAAATTATTAGTACCCTGTTATTCCCCAAAGGGAAATGTTCCAGATGTGATAACCCAGGCCCCACCTAGCCCCGCTGTGCATGGCATAGAAACAGGCAGCTTTCTCACTTACCAGCCACGTCTCCGTCTGCTGTTGGCAGCTGCAGTGTCAGGTGGAATGTGTCGGGCTTTGAAAGACAACATTCCAGGTGTCCTTGGAGACCCCACCACCTGGTGTCCCACACCTCTCCACATTCTAACTGCCTGCTGTCCCTGCCATCCCTGCATCTTCACCACCCTGTGCTCCCCCACATCCCTGGTGTTCCCATGTCCTTACCATGGTCCTTACCACGCAGTCCCCAGCATCTGTGTGTCCCCACCACCTGGGGGCATCCCCAGCACTCCCCTTGTTACCACCACCTGGCATCTCCCATGTCCCCAGCATCTCCATGTGCCCACCACCCCTCATGCCGGCCACCACGCTGCCTGGCACCACTCCTCCACCTGCACGTGAGACACCAGGCTTGGCCATGACTCAGTGGCTAAAAACAAAGGTGGCAAATCTGTGCCGTAAATGAGTCCTTCCGGGCTAAGTAGCCAGTCCAGCCCACCCAACTTGCGTTATTCATGATGGGTGATGGCTCTATACGGGTAACAAATCTGAAGCTCGTTATAAACCTGGTTGAGGTTACTACTCTAAACTTCCCAGTTGCCAATCAAGACCTGATCAATTTTAAAAAATATTTTAATAATGATGTGCATCTTAGTATAACAGAAATGTGAAACAAAAAATGAAGCAAGAATTACAAAAGGTGAAGTAATCAGCAGGCTTATTATAGACACTGTCAGGTTGCTCAAGTACCCTGATTTAAGTTACAAAAAGAAAAAAACCCACCTACTAGTGCAGATGGATTGCTCATAAGATGTATTCAAAGTTGCTAGTCCAAACAGCATAATTTTTAAGGCTAAGCATTCCCTATACAGCAATGTTTGAACCGAATGCTTTTTATGGATGCGATTAGTTCGTATAGTTGTGTGATTATGCACATGGGATCTGATTCACAGGATTGCTTCTTTCTTCCTTGACAAAGGATAGAGGTAAGAAAAAGCCTAAAAAGGTTTGTGCTGGTTAAAAATATTCATGAAAAGTAAAACTTCAGGCTTAGAAAAGACACATAAGGAGAAAAAAATGGAGTTTCTAGATCTTTTGAAATTTCTAGCGTGCAAAGAGTTGTAGTGTTTAAGGCTCATAAAATAGATTAAGAGTCCGGTGACATACAAGAGTGGATTTTTTTCTCTGCTCTCTGTTTGGCTATATATCAATAGGTCTTCTAGACAGAAGAAAAGTCTCGCTGACTACGTCAAAGATTCCTTACTAGGAACAAACCTTAAAAAATAAAAAGTAGGCCTACTTGAAAAATGTTTGTCAGGTATTTTTTAGTGGAGATTTCGTTTCTTTATTAAAAATATACACCACCACCCCAAAATATCTTTTTTGGCTGAAAAATAAACAAAAAAATAAAGTAGTTGTGCTTGATTAAAATGTGACTGATCTGAGAAGCAGGCTGTATTGGTCTCTGCCATACATAGCCCAAACAGGGAGTGCAAATTAAATACAAGGACGTGAAGCGTTGAGCCTACACCTTTCACGAGACATTGAAACAAAATTCTCAAATCAAAATGCTTTGTTTTTCCTCTCCAAAATGGCTTGTCTTAAATGCTTCCATGAAAAATGGCAGGTAGCCAAAGGCAGGCAGGGGAGGGCTTTGGAGAGTGGCCGGGACGACCGGCAAGACATTGGCTTCCAGCATGGGCAGCCTTCGGATGGGAGCAGTCATGGCCCTTGGTGAGATGACTCGGTCACATCGCTGCTACGTCCCTCTGAGCGCAGCAGAGAAAATAAACATTGGCATCGCATTCTCTTGCAGATCTTTTCTGGTTAAAAGCTGGGCTGCTACATTGTTTATTGAAAACATGTTTTTTTATAATTCTAGGATGACCACATGGCTCTTCCACCTTTGAAGAGATGCAACACAACATTCATGTGTACGAATAAATCGTAAAGGACCACAGGACAAGTCAGTGCTTTGGGAATGGGAGAGATATACTGGGCAGGGAGGGTCACAGATGTTTCCTACCAATTTGTTCGCTTTTCATTCATAACTTGCCATTTCCCATCGCTAACTGGGTTAACGTCTGCTAGGTGGTTTCCATGTGGGTAGTAGTTAGATTCAGATCATACACTAACGGCAGCTTTTGTCTGGACTAGGAGCTATCTGAAAAAATGCTGTAAGAGGCCTACTGTTAGGATATTTATTGGAGGTAAATCCCCTCTCTTATCAAGATTAATGAACACGAGCAGAGGCTCATACTCAAGACACCATGGAGTTACGCAGCTACTGTTAAATCCTTCGGGAGGCAGTTACCTCTCGGGTAGCGGTGCCCTTCATAAAACATAGGCTCTTGCATTATTGGTAGATTTGCATGTTCCTGTATCCAATAACTCTGAGTACGTGGGATGCTTACAGCATCTATCGTAGCATTAAGAAAAGGTTTCTGCCATGCTGTGGTGATGGAGAACATTTTGTGACACCCTGGAATTGAATCCCCCTATTCTGAATGTACCCTCTGGCTTTTGATACCCCCATGCTTATGTCCTGCAAAACACATTAATTTTGGAGGCGTATTTGTTTTAATGCCTTTCACTGCCTACGTCATTCCTGAGAAAGGATGAAACTCTGATATGTTGGCACGTTAGTCTAAAAATCAGGATAGTGCAGGACTGAAGTGAAAATGAGAAGTATCACTAACACTAGGACCAGTGCTGGGAAGAAGCCTGAGAAGCATCTCTTTAAAAAATAATAATAATAAAAAAGACCAACAGAAAGTTGGAGAAATTTAGTCCTTAATGCAGCCAGGCTCCTGCTCCTCCCCTCCCTGCTATTTTTAAACAAATTACTTTTAATATTACCTAGACATTAATGTTTTAGACTGGGTACTATTCATGCTCCATAACTGCTTTTCATAAATATTTTAATGGGTCCAGGCCCAATTCCACTGAGGTCAATTAGAAGATTCCAAATAAATCCTTCCTTCCCCTCCTTGCATTAGTATGCAGCTTGTAAGAGGGCTGACATTGGTCTGTGCTTTTATCTTAAAATAATCCAAAAGACGATTTTCCTATGGGAAGAACTATCACTATATAATTTGTGGGTGGTACTTAAAGGGATGTTACCCAGGTAAAAACACTTATCTTTAATTTAGGGACCAATTTTCAGACATGCCGAACACAATTCTACCTGAAGTTAAATATAGGCTTTGGTGGTCAATACCTCTGAAAACCAGAACCATAATTTTTAACATATCTCATTTTGTCTCAGGCTTGTATTGTCCAGAATTAGGTTTAAAGTAGTTTGGAAGAGCATTTCAATGTGTCCTTATTCCAAATAATGCAGCAAAATAAAGTGGTATATTGTGATAAAATATGTGTCTTATTTAGATCTTAACTGCATGCTTGCAAGTATCTGACTTTAATGAAATTCATTTTTAAATGGACCTCAAACTTTAAATAACTAAAAACATCTTTTTGCACAACGAGAATATAGTAGGTCTTTGGTCTGATATGCCATTAAAAAATGGGGCATGAGCTGTAAAATACCTTGAAAAATATTGATTTTTTTTGTTTGTTCATGTTATAGATGCCTAACTGGATAAGTACTGCCATGGTTTGGTGCAGAAACCTGAGTTCCAATTTCTGTTGTACCTCTGAACTTGTAGTATGGTCTGGGGCAAATAGTTTACTGAATAAAGCCCTAAGCCTTTGTGCTATACATGCCTAAGTCTCTGAACGCCAAAGGTCTAGCTTTAATCATAACTGCTTTGAGAATATTCCTTTACTGCTCTTTAAATGCAATTTTTACAAGTACTTTTTGGCATACTTTAACTGCAGAGTTTCACATTTGTCTAGGATGTTTAAAGAAATTGGAAATGATTTCTGGTATTTGAAACCAAGCTTGAAATTGTGCTGAAAACACAGTTCTCGCAGAGACTTTTCAGCTGAATTAATTACAATACAATCAAGCTGTGGCATGTGGGACAAGAAACATCTGGTGATAACCTTGGCTGATCTTACTGTAGATTGCATTCATGAGTCTGAATAGATTTCAGGACATATTGATACAGCCATTATGCCCTTTTTCAATTTATGTACTTGTGATGGTTTTGGCCATCTTGACAAAAAAACCATCCCACAGTTAGGTCAAGGACTCTGGAACAGTTAACTTTCAGTGAGAAATTACTTGTGGACTCATTATATGTTTATTGTCTAAGGCTCCGTGTAATAGGAAATCTGTTTTGTACATTAGCAATGTACATCATTAGCTTTGTATATTCCAACTGGAACTATTAGAAAAACATCTTCCTCCAAGAAGACAACTCGAAACAATTCAGCAAAAGAAATAAGAAATCAAGCTGTGCTATTCTTTTCATTGTCTTCTAGTTATATTATCTGTGTATGCATATATCTACTGAGGAAATTTAATGGCTAAATAGCTTCAAGATAATTCTAGCTTTTTAAAAGCAATGAGAAAATCTTCACTCTGTGAAGCTGAACCAACCATACAGCACTGGGAAAAAATCCACGTATGCCCAATACATAACTATATTGCCTCTTTTTATTGTCAGCTGTCCTCTGCTTAAGCAAAATCTCACCCCTGCAATCTGGTAGTGTTCTCTGTCCACTCTGATGAGGAGTAAAGGATGGGCAGGGCAAAAGAAAGCCAAGCTGCTTTACATGTTGATGTCTTCCGAGTGCCAAAATTCTTCTGGATTGATAGAGGGTGGTTTAAATTTCAGAAACAGAGTGCTCAGTTTGAGATTGTCTGAAAATTGAAAACAAAGTAACTTTCAATAAAATAAAAAAATCTTGACATTAGCTAGAAGAAATATTTTCAGCTGATACAGCCTCTCAGAAAACAAGGGACAGCTTCATCATACTGCTCTTTTTTTCTGCAACTCCACCCTTGCGTCTCCTTCTGAAGCATGAAACCATCCGGACTTGGGCAGATTCCAGCTGCAGCATCGACGAGCACTTGACAAAGGAGGAATTTTGTGAAATGGGTCCATTTGGGACGTACCTCTGACCTCTCTGCTTCCTCGTGCATGGCAGGTTTACAACACAGTGAAGTTATTTCATGGCGGTAGGAGCCCAGCTTCGGCCTCCCCATGATGTCTTCCTCCCAGCGCTCTGCTGCACAAGTCAGTGCAGAATTGATTCACTACGTGTGTGGTTTTGCAGCCTACCTGCTGTACTTCTCTTTCTTCCCTGACACAAAAACCAGCAGCTGGGGTTCTGCAGAGACACCAATTTGGATGGAATAGGTTCTAAAAGAGTATAACAAATATTACTACCTGTTTGCAACAGGTGGCACACATAATGTTCTTTGTGCTTTCTAGAGGCAATTGGAAGGGGAGTGATCTTGGCTTTGTATAGAAAATCTATACAAATATTGTCTCTTCTGCCAAATAATTCTT